CTTGGGCCACAGGATGCCACTGTTGCATTTCTTTTTCAGGAGGTCAAAAGAAAGTGCGACAAATTGTTTGTATGAACTGGACACCTAAATTTAATGCCTCTTATTCCTTCTTAACACATACAGTTGCCAATGTTTAAAGCTCCAGACAGACCGACCACATGGAAATAGCTCAGAGCCGCACAGGAATATGTGTTTTCATCAGGAACAAAATATTTGAATACCTTTTAAGGCTCTATTACTGAACCCAGCACCTCTGTATGTTCATAAATTTTCTATGCACAAGAAATCTTTCCAATGACTGCCARGAGTGTTGACTCCAACTCTGATAGTTTTGACCACAAAACAAATACCCTGTTAATGGATTTTATCTGTGYCCAGATGAGAAAAGAAAAACACTAGATGGGAGAGCAGATTAAATCGGAGAGAAAGCGGGCTGCTCATAATTCCTACCTCTCGTGAAAGAGGCAGAGCCCCTACCATGTTAATAAAACTTCATAAATATTTTACTAATATAAAATGGAATGCAATGTGTTCATGCCAGGAGACAGGGAAGTGGCCTGAGCTCCCAGATAGCTGCTCTTGCTGGAGTTTTGTGCATTCTGTGAGCTGGCATGCAGAATCAGAAGCCCAGGACTATTGAGGGTAATGGGGTGGGACCGTTGAGACAACCTCACTAAGGTCCACCGATGTGAATTTTAGAGCAGTCAAGATTGCAGAGATCTAMACAGTGTCTAAAAGTCCTCTGAAAGCAAATTTCAGTCCCAAAATATTTTTACATTTAAGTGGTAAATTATTACAGAAAACTAAGAATGGATTTGCAGACAGTCTCCAACATCTACAGAGAGAAGGGTTCCCCCAAGTTCAGCACAACACAGAKGGAATTTGTGAGAAAGGGTTGTTAAGAAATGAGGGAGAAATTTTAATGGTAACAGTTTCTCAGATTTCAAAAGCCATTTTGGTTTTGCTCAACATTTTAGAAGGGAAAAAATGGCTTTAGCCTAATACAACTCCACTTAGGAACAGGGAAAAAGAAAATTAATGATAAGGTTTCAGATACATCTTGGGTGGCCAGCAACAGAAGAACTTGAGGAAAGCCAGCATGAAAGTGACAGCTGCGGTGAYGCAGAGCCTTACCGAGGCTGGTGTTACAGCTCGGTACTTCAAGCTGATGTAAATATGAAGGGGCCCACAGATAATAGCCTTTTAGGATTCAMGGCTTCAACAGAAACATCCTCACTACCTTCAGCCTATCTTGGATATGTCCCAGAARCTGGCTATTCCCCAGTCAGGGTCTAGATTCAGTGAAACAAAATCCCACTTTTCAGAAAGCTGTGCTGTAAGTTCTCTAAATCAGAACTAGACAATTATTCAGAAGATGCTGTGAAGGACTCAGCCTTGTACAAGAAACATCTACCAACCAAAGAATTCACACATTTCCAAAGACAACAATAAAACAAGCCCAAGGACTGGTTCCATTGCTTTTAAAAATACGTATTTGTAATAGCACACATCAAGGATACCATATTAGTATTAAATCAGTCATGATTGTTTACATTTCTTTTGCTGAAGAAATTTTCAATGTTGTTATTTTTTTGTTATTAGCACAGAAAAAAATTGACCACACATAACTAATTACTTAGTTCCCAAACTGAATTTACCTCCCATTCCAAAGACCAGGGATTTCAAAATCTCCTTAAGAAAGGGAAAAAGAAAGCCTCCAACCCAAATTCTTTCCTTGTTGTTTATAACAATAAACAACAGATTTCATACAAAAGCAACAGCACAAGGGTAGAAAAGAGTGTTCCAAAGCTAATTTTAGTCCTGCTGATCTCAGGAGCTTAGTGTTCCTGTCAGACTGAACAGACTCCAGTTGTGCCCTGCCTGCCTGGCTGGAGAAATCTGTCCCTGGAGATCTATTTATAGCACCTTGTACCCTGTACCTAGATTAGGTTTTAGATTTTTTTGTTTTGTTTTGATTTGTTTTGCTTTGTTTTGTTAGACTGGAGCATGTATCCAGGACTACATTGATCCAAGACACAGATGTGACCTACTCGAGTAAATTACCAGGGAAAAAAAATATCAAAACAGTTCACACTTCATTTTCTGCATATCAGTCCCTCTGGACTTCATCAGCTAGCCAAAATTCAGTCCCAAAGGTTATTTCTATTACAAAGAGAAAYTGATGACAGAATTGAGTATATCTTTGATACAAATCCATCTGCTTACATACAACACAGCATCCTTTCACCTGCAATAAAGTAAGAACAAATGATCAGATCTTTTTCCTTGGTGGTTATCATTTAAATTCAGCCAGTACCATATCTAATCCCTTCATGATTTTCTCCTTAGAAATATACTCCTACATTTGGATGTTTCTCCCTAGTCAGCATCATTTTCTGTGGCTTGTTTCACTGGTTTTTATGTCACATATAGGCAGCTCCGGCAGTCACCACCTATCTTGCGTTTTCCTTATGAGTTCCCAGGGAAAAACCCTTATGTCATAAGGTTAAGTTTTTCATGTAGATCTCACCTTGTAATTTTGCACTGATTGTGTTATCCCAACTGCCTGGTTTCATAATGACTTCAACCACTTTTAAAATTTTACTTTGCCCACCAGCTTCACCGAATTTTACTCAGTCCACAAAAGCATCCCTTCAGTTCCACCCAGTCTTCCATTAAAMCAAAATGGCCACATCTGAACTGTTTCAGCCCAGAAAGAGAAACGCTTTTAACAAAACTACTGGTTATACTGCAAACAATGGCTGTCAAGGACACTCTTTGTATTTCAGCCCCTCCACAGAAGTCTGTTTCCAGCCATGTCTCCTTGTGTTTTTTTGAGTGTCTGAAACCTGCCCACCCTTAAGGGAGATGTAATTCCTCATACCCCCTATCAAGAGCAAATATCCTCTGCTGAATGCAAATGATGGATCTATTTCCCAAATATTTGTCATCTAGACAGGAGAACGGAGTTCATGCAGGCACCCTAATCTTTAGGGTAAAATCTGCCAAACTAGCTTAAACAACCTTTAAATAGAAACAGTGGGAGCTAGAAACAAACAGAGCTACAAAACAGTAAAACACTCCTGCTGTTAGGCTGCCTTTGCTAGCCAGATGACAACCCCAAACTGCGAATGCGTAGCAACTGATGGGCACTGGTGTCTCAAAGTGCAACTTCACATCAGGGCTTCACTGACAGTCACCACTCACTGCTGCCAAGAGAGGTAGCCCTCTTCCCCCTCCCTCCCCCGGTTTCTTCCCTGTGGGACATGTGCTTCTGCCAAGTCCTTGCTCCAGTGCACATTTGATTGCAGCATAAAGCCAATTCAACTCACTAAAACAGCAGAAAGTAAATTGGTTTTGGCTGGAAAGCAACCTGAACTGGATTATTATGTGATCAAGCAAGCACTAGAGTTGGTGCAAGACAGAGAGAAAAAGACAAACTGAAGTGTACAGATGAAGRCAGGAACAGCAGACATGGTCTAGGCAAGGTGAGAATGGTAAACAGCAAAAGAAGCTGTCAGCTCAGCCAGAACAGGGAATCACACTCTCACCACAGTTCAAAACATGTGCTTTGAGCATTCAGTTCCTGTAGCTATCTCCTCATTTCGGGAACAGCAGCTCCTCTGATACCTCCATGTTACTTTTAMAGGGGATTTTGGATTTGCCTTTGCCATGGGACTGCACCAACATTTTCGTATCTTAAGCCCAAACTCATGAAGCACAGGTACCCCATGCACACTGCTGTGAAAGCCCAGGGAAGGAAGGGATTTTCTACTCCCAGCTCCTGAGCAGGACAGCGCCACAGCCTAGGGAAGCTTTCCAAAGCTCAAGATTAGCTGGGCACAGTGTCATGTTAACACCACCATCCTGTTTCCCAGGCACAGACTGCTTTTGTGCATGGGACTGCACAACCAACAAGCTGTTTGTTTGCAATGCTGGTTCAAGGCCCTGTTCACACTCYCTCCAAAAGGAGATTATAAACACCAACAGAAAGCATCCTGAGGAGACCAGCACATTGTTCCTCTGTAAGAGAAACCCCACAGGCTGGCAGCGAGGCAGCAAAGCCCCTGCAGATACACCACAGGGAGGGCATTAAGCAGAGCACCAAGAAAGGAGGCTGCATGCATTCAAATGGTTGTTTATCCAAAACATGGCTTTGCACCAGAGGAGAGTTTATCTGCTTATCTCCCCGTTCAACCTGTCTAGTGTAACACAGCCCGCTGCCACACATGTGCTCCTTGGGACAAGTTTCCCCCATTTTCTTTTACCTCCTCTCTTCTACCCACCCAGTCCTGCAGGGTTTTTTTGCCTTGGATGCTGCCAATCAATGGAGGTGGCTTCAAAAAAAATCAGAAAGACAACCTGTGGGGACCTTGAATTTCTACTTTATTAACCTTCAGTTTTCATATCCTCTCGGAGTTACCAGATTCTTTCCCAGCACTGTAGGGCACCAGGACCTCATTTTATTAAATTAAACAAAGCCCAGGTTGTCCTACATTCCCAGACACCAGCCCGTTCCCACGGCCCCCGTTCCTCTTCGTTGCCCAGTGAAGGGCACGGAAGCTGGTGAAGGGTCTGGAGTGCATATCCCAGAGGAGTGGCTGAGGGAGCTGGGGATGTTTTGCCGGAGAAAAGGAGGCTCAAGGGTGACCTTATCCCTCTCTACAACTGCCTGAAAGCAGGATGCAGCCAGGTGGGAGTCGGCCTGTTCTCCCATATAACAAGTGGCAGGACAGGAGGACATAGCCTCAAGCTGYGCCAGGTGAGGTTTAGGTTGTACATCAGGAAGAAATTCTTCCCATTGGAACGGGCTGTCCAGGGAGGTGGCGTACTCACCATCCCTAGTGAGATTTTAAGGAAAGCCTGGACGCGGCACTCAGTACCACGGCCCCGTTGACATGGCGGTGCTGGCTCTTAGACTGGACTTGATGATCTCAGGAGGTGTTTAGGTGTTTTGCAAGAGAGCTGGCTCCGATTTTGTGATTCCGTGTTCAGACGCCCCGCGGCGGCCGTGCCCCGGCGGGAGGCGGGAGAAGGCCGGGCCCGGGAGGGCGGCGCCGGGAGCTGCTGCGGGGCGGGACGGAGCTGGGCGCTCCCTCAGGTGAGGGCTGGGGGCCCGGGCTCTCGGGGTGCGGMGGGTGGGAAGCGGAGGGGCCCGGCGGGAGGTGCCCGGTGTGTCCTGAGACCCCGAGCGGGTCTCGGGTCGCTGTCGCGGCGGGAGCGACACCAGGAGCCCTTSGTGTGGGGAAAGGTGCGCGGCCGCGCCCTCCCCAATGGCTCCTGCCCGGAGCTGCCTCTGGGAAGGCGCTCTTTCCCTCCCTCTTAGATGTAAACAAATAAAAGTTAATTTATTCCTTTATATTKTATTCTTATATATTTATGTTGATTTACGACACCCAAAGGAGATGAAGAACGCCGTCAGGCCTTAATCAGTCCAAATTAAACTGAGCGCAGGCATTTCTGCAGGGATTTTGAAGGCAAACGATCTAAAGATTGCTCAGGTGCTTGCTTGAAGTCTTTGTTTCCCTGTTTTACCGTTTTGGGCTTAATTGTACCGCACTTGAAAAGATAAAGGCACTTTCAGCMAATAACAACCTGGTAATATTTAATGCAGTGTTATCAGGGTATAGCTTCTCATCAACTTATTTTCGGCCCAGCACAGCTTTGCCATTACCCAATGTTTATGCAAATCACAGGTGATGTCTGGTCCTGACTCTGTTTGCACCCACGGGTGCCCTCCTCTTGGAAACTCCCAGGACAAAGGTCACAGCCTGCTCTTCCAGRCTTCCCTGTGCCAGTGGCAGCTGCATGCACACTCATGCCTGCACTGGCACTTRCTGGGCTTAATACTTTACCTGAGACACAACATTACAGCAGCCAAGATTCAGTCCTTAGTGGACACTGTGCCTTGCCCTGGCAGCAAAGGCAGGAGAGTCAGAGCACGCCTAGTAAATTATCCAAGGCAATTAATTTCAAACACAGAAACATGGCTATTACTTGATGAAAAGGAAAATATAGAGAAAAGCTGCCTGCTTTAATGAAGTTAACCTTTTAGTTTAAAGGGATTTACTTCCTTCACTTCTTAAGGAAGTCTGTACTAGTTGTGAATCAGCATGAAATGGAAACGATTGCTGGTCAATGAATAACTTTTAAGTGGAGCAATAAAATGAACCATTTTTATTTCTCTGGCTCAGGAAGTTATTTTAGAAGGAAAGAACACATCTAAGAAACAAGATGTCTCATGCTGGGGGTCGATACCAAAATAAGCAATACAGGCACCATGAGAACCACAGATCTGATAGATACAAGGAAGACAGAACAAGAAGAAATCCATACCCGTACAATGCAAGGTACGTCTTTATCTACTAAGAGAAATACATCACAGCAAGTCTATAATGTCTGTCTTTTCTCTTTGCTCTTAAATAGGCTCATATTACAATAGTAAAGAAAGCTTTTTCCCAGCCTTGAAAGCATGAACATATCACGTTTGGAACAGGGAGCTATTTTACACTTGGAAATTTACCCTTTTTTCTTTGTATTGAGCTTGAGGCAGGGCAGGAAGATAGGCTGTGTAATGCAGACAAAGATGTGAATTTCCTGGGATTATCTGAATCAAATTGGGTCACAGGTAGGTGAAGTATGGCCATGAGTCAGTATAGTTCCTGAAGACAGGTGTCTTCAACAGGTGACAGCAAGCCGTGGCTTGCCAAATATACATTGCTTAAATGAGAATGTTACATGACTGAGACCAGCACAGGGACTTCATGGCCTCTCTGGTTGCTCTAGTTCCGCTGCGAACATGTTCTGATTAATCTGAAACAAAATTACTTCCAGTAGTTGCTGTCACTAGATGAGTGCTTGTTTGAGTGTCTGAGGCTGTTGGCAGCACTTGAGAGTGGGTCAGCCCCTATCACCACAATAAGCAGATCAGCTAATGGGTTTCCAGTGCCAAATAAAATCTTAGGATATTACACTTCTCCTTCCAGCCTGGCCAGGCTGCAGCATGCTAGATGTGAGCTGAGGCACTTTTCCTTTTAGGTCATGCCAGTGCATGGTTTCTCTGCAGGAGAGAAGTCTGTAGATCTGAACACCGCTGGCAAATTGGCCATGGCAGTAGAGTGTTCATCACTCCCATTTAGTCCCCAGGGACATGATTGTAGGGAAATTTGAGAGTAAAGACGAACAGGGAGAGAAGATAAATATAATGAAGATTATTGAAAAGAGGAAATACTCAAGTACTCCTTGATAATATGCATTTTAGCAAGGAAAACAGGATGAGAATAAAAGGAGCAAAGAAGAGCACTGTGTGGACTGCAAGGAGTATTTATGGCTAAGTATAAAGCACTTGGATAGCGGTAAAACTATTGTGTTGTGAAAATAGCTAATGAATTTTTCTTCTTTCTCTCTTAAATTATGAAAAATTGAAGAGAAATGGGAACAAAGACCAGCCTAAGAATCATCCTCAKAGGCTGGATGCCTGTCATTAGCAAAAACAGAGATTGGCAGGCTATATAGTTAAATTATCTTGAACATATTAGATGTGAGAGCAGCTAATGCCAGTAACACATTAATAGCACAGTGGAGAGAAAAAGAGGAAAAAAAAAAAAGGATTGGGGGTTTGGTGTGGGCTTTCTTGATTTTTKTAACGTATAGCATAATGTAAGCAATGTGTAAAGGCTAGCTGTAAATCAAACCACCTCGTTTTAATAAAGCACTTCTCTGGATTTCTTGGTTTTGCTGTTAGTTTTATATGTCTGGACATGTAGATCGAAAATTTTTGGAAAGACTGTAAGTGTTCACAGACATCCCTGTATCCACTGGGGATTAGAGGAAGGGAAGCTGCAGTTACAAATCTGTAACAGCCACGAAGATAATTCTTTGAGTCAAGTCAAGCATCTGGGGGCCATCAGACCCCACTGAAACAATTGAAAACCTTTTCTATCAGTGCTTTGTAGGAGTTTGGCTTAACCTAACAACATTTTCTCTGCCTAGTTCTCATGGAGTTCTCATGGGTTTTGGTGAAAACTTTGGCTGATTGATCAGAATACCACCAGATCCTGTAATGTAATACATAGGGAAAGTTTTGTGGAAGTTTGGGTGCCTAATAGTTTCATCCCTGATGAACTAGACTTTCTAGCCAGAGTATTTCTCCTTCCAAAGGCATTTCTGTCTGAAACTCCTACAGCAACCTTCCTCCCACTGCTGAGGAGGATTACCTAGAATGGTAAAGTCCTCAAGGAAAACAGCAGCAAAGGTGGCCAAAATAGGCCACAGTGAGAAAAAAAAGCATCTAAAAAAAGGATTTTCTTTTTTCCTAATTGTACTCTGTTGCTGAACATCAGGGGTTTTTTGTTTGATTTTTTTTGTCTTGTTTTGTTTTCTGGCAAGTAGCAGGAAACAATAGAGAGAAGCAGCTGCATCAGAAGTACCAAAGGGATTGCTTTCAAGTTACTGGAAGTCTTATAAATCACACAGCTTATTTAATTTATGTGACACAGCTGCACAGGATGCTTGGTAGTTGCACAAGACACAGGACAGAGGTCAGAAAAATCAGAAATGTTTCAGCCAAATAGAGCTGTTGGCAACTAAACACGGAGATGTTAGCGTTGGTCTTGTTATTGAATGTCTTAATTAAAATGTAAAAACTACAAAGAACATGATTTAATGTGGATGAATGAGATAATATTGAGTCTGAAATTGGATGAAGATAAACCTTAGTGAAGTGCAATGATACTAGAAAACAAAACTACAGTTGAAAATGCTGATCTGTGGATAAGAAATTAAAGATAAAAACTGAATACAAAGAAGACTTAAAAAAATAATGATGCTAAGTGAGACTTAAAGTACCCTTTAATAACAAACTCTTGCAGCTGTACCTTGAAAAAGGCAAGCTCCAATTCTCCTTCAAATGAGGGAGATAATTTTGATTAGACCAAACACAAAAATATTTGCAGCCAATGTTTCTTTTAACTTGAGCATTAGCTCAGTTTAAATAGGGAACATTGCACTTTTCMTATAAAATAATCTGAATTTTACCAACCTTAAAAATCATCAGGCTTCAGATATGGAGCTGTATGTCATTGCAGCAAACTGGACCTTTTTGAAGTGTATCAATAAAGAGACTAATTGGAGACAGGAGAAACTGATTTTTGGTGGGGGGGGAGAATTGATTTTAGAATCTTCTTCAAATACCATCAAGGACCTTAAAGGATTTCAATTGGCTGTTTTTCCCTTACTTATAAATCTTTATCTGTTTCTTTTAATGGCTTTTATTCTTTTAAAAGGCATCTTTGTGAGACACCCTAGTTGGAGGTACAAACTTGACAAAACACCCATGAAGTAATTGTGCTACTTTGCACATTTATTATGTCAAAGTCTTTCTCATTTTTATTATCTGGCCTGCTACRGATTAGCTTAAATTGTTTGGTTTCCATAAAAAAGTTGCTATTTCTTCTTCCTGCCTTTTGTCACTAAGCTAAGCAGCTCAGCCAGCCTACCCAGTGAGTACACTATTTTCCAAAATAAGGACCATTGAGTGCAAATATCTTTGTAAAGGTGGATTTATGCAAGTTTCTGGGGTATTTGCTTTCATAAAGACAAGCCAAAGAGGTCAGATGCCTATGAAGCAAGCTAGTTGCTTCCACTAAGAGGAGCATCTGATAGTTTCTCCTGTTCTAATGTTCAGGAGAGACTGTGACCTAATTAATAAACATGAGTTGTTTTACTCCATTGTAGATCAACAGGAGACATCCGAGGTGGCCAGCACTCAAGGACTTCTGCTGTTTGCTCAGACCCTTACCCTAAAACCTCAGGAGAAGCACAGGAGTATTTTGGGCCCCCTCCAGAGTTTTATCCTYCCAAGGAAAGCTTCTCAACGAAGTGTTCAAAGGTATGCACAACAAGAGGTATGTGAGATTCTTACTGCCTGCCATTCACCCCTCTTCTTCTGAGGATTTCTCTTGGATTTGGTTTCTGGGTTTAGGCAGACAACAAAGTTAAGCTAGAGGAATATTAAAACAAAAGGAAACAAATAAAAAAAACAAAACCAACAAACCAAAACACCACCAAAAAAATGCCCATAAGAACCAAGAGAGTTAACTGAGGGTTATGCCATTTTAAYCATCTAAAGGCAATATTTATACAGATATTTAGATACTTGAAAATACATCTCTGGATTATGCATCCAGATCACTGAAGTGGGTCATGTGTGTAATCAGCCAGTCTGTGCAACAAGAATAACCTTTGAGATTTAGAAATAAAATAGACATTTGCATCTGTGAGCAATTTAATGATGGCTGTTGAAGGTTTGATRCTAGTTTATTTCCAAGACATTCTTCTCAGACTTTTTATCAATTCTGGGTTTACTCTAGCCATCACTCATACGTGTTTATAAAGCCTCATTCAGGAAGACAAAACTGTTTCCTGGACATGAATCCCATAAAACAGTTCTGGAGAAATATCTTGGGAATTTGCATAGGTAGAAAGMAACTGCTACAAGACTCAAGAAATGAGCCTTAATGTGGGAGGAAATCAGCCTTAGTAAAATCATTCCTGCAAAYGGAAAAAGAAATTGTTAAAATATTCATTACCCCTTTAAAGTTTTCTCTCTTCCATGGCAATGATCATTCTCACCTTGTCTGTAGGAAGGGTTCACTGCAGTCTGAGTTGAGCTTGCAGCTAGGTGCAAAGTCTTTGGCTGAAGTCTATAAATAGACTTTCAGTGTCCTCCAGTAGAAAGACAAATTAAGAGATTAGCTGTTAGAAGTAAATTGAAGTACATAATGTTAGATTATTTCTACACTCCATGTAGGAAAATTAAATARCACATTCAATTTGCTCTTAATATTTCTCTGTATGTGAATATGTGAAMAATTTTAAGAGTGAGATGAACCATTTTCTCTTACAAGTATGTTCTGTGTATTGGTGGGCAGTTTGTTTTTCATCTTCAGATGTGACTGCAACCATTAGTGAAGGTTTAATGACATGGAGCCATACGGATATCTTATCCATGATAAAATTGTATCATCAGTTYCTTTTCCAACCATACTAAATTATTTTAGCTTGTCTGAAAAGCTGCAGAAAACTCCATGCCCTGTTTTATCAGAGCTTTAGAAAAATGAAGTGGCAAGTTAGTTTTAGTTTTCAGTTTCACTCGTTGTTTAGACTTATGGATGGCTTAATGTGAATTTCTGTTGTGGTGGGGTTTTTTTTTTTTCACCCTGCATTTGTTTTTTGTTATTTCAGTKCATTAAATATCGTTAAGATTTTTTAAATGTCCTACTTTTGGATGCTTCAGTTRATGATGATTTTACTCCCACCCCTCCCCCAGGTATTGCTCAGTGTTTTCCAAAAATTTAATGTCTGRGCTTGCAGTGGAGGAGGGAAAAGAGATCATGCAGAAAAGAAACCATTTTAGTTGCAACTTCATTTCAAAAAATGAAAATATATTGAAGGTTGATAAGATTATGAGAATATTACTCGTCTGTTAAATTTTTGGAAGTACCAAGATTTAATAGACTTTACTAGAACTGTTTTGCAGACTTCTGTAATCCCTGCAGTCCTGGTAGATGCTTTAAATGAGCTACATGAATTGTTTACTAAGAAATCAGTACATGAGAGCTGCAACACTTTAGAGCATGAAAAGTTCCTGTAAATACTTCTTAACCATTTCTTTCTTTTGCCAATGATTTATCAGCTCTCTGGTGAAATTCCCCATTCCAAATCACCAGATTCCTAAAATAAACTACACTCAAACAAGACTGGGAAATCAAGTGATGAAACACAGTCTTTTCCAAAGCAACAGTTGAAAGGTGAACCTTAATTTCTGACGATCCACTAAGAAGTTGAGCTTTGGGATTTTTTTCTTTTGCCTGGCACACCTAGGTTGTGTTCTTTATGCATTTTGAGCAGTTTAGCAAACTAGAGAGGAATTCTAAACAACGAAAGCTCTGAAAAGTATTTGTTTCACCCAGACAGTGCCCCCTTCATTCATGCTTTTTTACCAGCTATATCCCAAAAAACTTAAGCTTAATTTCAGAAATAAGCAGCTGTTTTTTGGGGAGATCCTTTGAACACCTTAGGACCTTAGGACACTGTAGGACCTCRTTCTCCTGTCTTTCTTATTCCCCCCTTCCCTCTCTCATCCCTACCTCCTTTTTTCCCCCTACAACCACATTATGACAACACAAATATAATGGAAGAAACAACTGATAAAGACCCTTTTGCATGTGATATTTGATACCATCTAAGGAACATTTGATACCATCTAAGAAACCTCAAAACATTCTGCTCATTTTTAATCCTTTCATCTTGAAAACAGAAGGGGAAAAAAAGTCTGTCAAAACATTATRTGAGGGATACCTGTTCAAAGCCATTCAGGTGGGATCACATGGATAGCAGTGCTGGATCATACCTCATCACTCTTCCTGACTGACAAACAATGGATGAAAGTACAAACTTAGGAGGACCATCAAAGTTTGGACCAGCCCAGAGTGAACTGTCTTCTGGAATATACTCCAGACTTTGGATTGGCTGAATATCCTGAATTGAAGACTACACTCACAGCTGTTGTGTTTAATACCTCTTCACAGACCTATCAAATTTGTTTAATTCTCTRCTGAATCCCTTTTTGAATGTTAGATCTTAACATTACCTTAAGATAAGGAGTTCCAGAGTTTCTTTGTGCCACTTGAAGAGCTACTGATCTATTCCTTAAAATGTTTTAAAGAAGGTGTCTCTGATTCTGATGGTATTCTAAATATGTAGTGATAATCTCATATATTCACCTTCTTCCTGAGATTTATAGCTTTAGAGTGAAGTCTTCYATTTTCCCCTGTGCCCCTATTACTTCTTCACAGATTGAACAACAGCCAGGTCTGGTCAGTTTTCCAGTCTTACCCCTCTTCCAAATCCACCACACCTTTTTGAGGTGGACTGACCAGAAATGCAGTAAGAGTTCCAGTTAAATTCCCCAAAGCATCAGACATCTGCATATGGGCTCTGGTTCTGTAATCTCATTCTAATGCTTTCTTTTTGTGTGGTGTTTGACTATCAGTGAGCACTGAGCTGATGTCTTCAGAGAAAGGTACCTGAAATGGAAATGCTTTACTCAGAGCCCATCTGTGTGCTCTGTCGACAGTGGAGATGGGTGTTTGTGGGTGTCTCTGTGCGGTCTCATGTATCTCCACATGAAGTGGAGGTTGCTTATTAAACACTGATTTCATTAATTTCTCATTCAGGAGCTTGAGCTCTCAGCAGCCTACCAATTTTACTGTTGGCAAGCATGAAGAAATTTTTATGGTTATTATTATTAAAGCAGACTTCACCATGTTGCTTTTCAATCTTTTCAACTCGTGCATCTACCATGGTATTTTGGTATGTAGTTTTGAGCTGAACCTGCTTTGAACCTTACTCTTGGGGGCCCCTGSGACCATATTGCAGAGCAGACCCAGGGTGCACAAACTATATTTTCTTTGGGTAAAACTGAATGAGAGAGTGAGATGAAACTACCAGCAGGCACCCTAGGACCAAACTAGAGCCAAAATTAAGTACTTCTCRCTGCCCAGAAAATGCCTGTCCTGCAGCCCCTGTGTCTTCAGCTCCACCTGTTTGACTCTACAGATCCCCTCCCACTGCACTGCCAACATGGGCAGGCAACTGGTGACAGGCAACACAAACCAGAGATTACTTCCTTAACTCTAGTTGCCTGAAAACTGGTTGTTTCCTTTTTATTTTGCTCTAGCCACTGCTAACCTGTGAGAGGATTGTTTGTCTCACAGGAGCTTGTGTCATTTAAGAGCACAACCTTTCTTTATTTATCTGCTGATTCTTTCAAGACTTTCCTACAACAAACTTTTGACTATTCCCTGCTATGCTTGCCTTATGTCTAGTTTCTATAKATTGGGTTGTTTTCTGTAGGAAAGCTACACTTGTGGGCCTGCAAATTAGAAATCAAAAGGCAGTAGAAACACCAAAGTCTGCSACCTTCTGTTTCTATGGTAATGAAGGAGATTTAAGGAACAGCTTATAGACTGGTGGCAAAGTATCTAGATGCACTACATAATTTGATGGGAATTGGAATTAAACTGTGATAAAGACAAACCTTTCATTAACTAAGGAACTCCTGCTTGCAATAGCCATATCTTACAACTTACACATGATATATTACACATGCCATTTAAAGCAGCACATGTTGAAAACAACAGGAGTTTTTTGACTTGGGGATATTTAGAGCTGAAATTCTGTCAGAAGGAAACATTCAATTTGCTTTTCACAGTGCAGGTAAAATTTCTGTACTTCTCTCTTCTGTGTAGAAAAACTAAATTAGTAATAATTTTGCCTTTCAAAGAACCCCCCTTGGGATATTTGAAAGTATAACCAGATTTAGTTCTTTTGTTTAGCAGGGGGAATGGCAAAAGTGTTCAAGGCTGGCTGCCATCCTTCACCTCAGTGAGAGTAAAATCAGCGTTGAACCCAAGAGTGAATTGCTCATCCTAAATTGGTCACCGATATTTGGCCATTTGACTTTGAAAATTTTTTTTATTATGTATAATGGTATGAAAGAGACAGAACAATGAAATTCCAGGATAATGCCTCCTGTAATTTTGCTTAAACAGAGAAGGCAAACTAAGTTTCTCCCATCTTTGGTCAATATGTGACTCAGGAAATTGCCTGCACTTTTCCCTWCTACAGAATTGTACTGAGCTGGTCATGATTCCTGAGCAAATAACTTTTTAAAAATTTTTCAGCCCATTTGGCATTTAAGGGAGACAACGCTAAAAAGGTTACAAAACAGTTTGTGGRGGAGCAAGTATAATTGAATCCCTGTTCTTTGCTGCTATGAATGCGGCTTTGCACCTTGAATAGTGTCAGATTTCTTAAGCATATTGTAGGCACTTCCAAACAA